TATTTTTTGTTTTTATTCTAGATAAATGAATCTCTAGAGAACATATGTTATTTATTTCTATTCTAATATAATGTAAATCTGTCTCATGAGAATAATTTTGACAAGAAGATTTATGAAAAGGATTAATATTGAAATTACTTTATTGTTTGATATAATTAAAAATGAATTGTAACTACAATTGATGTTTTTGAATCATTCCAGTTAACATTCATGATTATCTTCATGTACAATTGCAACATGTAATGCTTTATACTTATTCTTAGATTTGATACATTATCAATAAATGATAAAATTCATTTTAGTTGAATGATGTTCATCAACACGATGTATTTTATTGGTGGGCACGGCTGAAAGTTTCCTATTTGTTTTTTTAAAATTTTATTGGTTCTATGGAATTTTGAGTTCGGAAAAAAGAGCAGACAACCATATAGAACGTAATTAATAAGAATCTAGACAAGAATATCCTTGGAAACTGATCGTGAGTATTAACTAGTTTAGAAAATCTGCAATGCATCTTTTTTTCGGATCCGGCGGCAGAGTTATGTTAAAAATTTTGTCATCATTGTTTGTGGCAGCTAAGTCGATCGGTTTATGCCTCTGTTTTGTATCGATTCAGTCATGAATTCTTCTAATAATGTAGATAGAATTTTTGGAAAGAATAAGTTCTTCTTTCTTTTCCCGATTTAAGCAATTTTTCGAATCACACGAATACTTAAGAATGTCTTTGTTCGGTAAAGTTTTTTTTCGTTTGTCTAATCTATACTTGAAGTACAAATTTTCTTGTTTCTTTCTTCATAGGTTTTTAGCATTTAATCAATTAGATTATATTCGTAGGTTACTAAGCCTTTACTAAAGACTTATAAAGAACTAGCAAAATCTATTTAGTCAAAAATTCTATATGATTGTTGAATTGAAAGTGTTTATTTGTAATATTTCAAAGAAAATATTTTTATCTAAAACTATTTAATTTAGTTACCGCCATCGAGAGAAAGTCCTCAAATGTAAGTCTCACGAGGGAACCTTTTCAACTGTCCAATCGCTTTTGAGTTCGAA